ATTGGGATCTATGGCCCTTCCCCAGCCTGTGAGGATAGATTCTTCCTTCTATTATTTTTCTCAAAACCGGTGTTTGGGGTGAACGTAAGCTGTCATAACCAATCACTAAAGTACACAACTTTATAGTCCATTACTTAATGACCGAGGAAATACCTGTGGCTCACAAGCACTTCGTTATTGGCCTTAACTACGGCATCGACGATGACATCTTTGAGTGGGAAGATGGTAGGAATTTATCATTTTACAGCTTTCTACGGTAATAAAGCTTTTTGCCTAATGCAAACTGTTAAAAAGCTTATTTGTAAACCTGCCAAGCTTACAAATATGATTTACATATAAAAATATCAAGGCCTCTAGCATGCCCAGACACTTTGGGCAGCTTGTTGTATGTATGGATTGTGTAATGTTGGGCATTGTTGTGCCTTTGTTCTATAATATATTACTTTCTACAGGCAAGATTGGTAACCACTACAATGGCACATACTGGGCACAAGGTCAACCAGACAAGCAAAAGCTGGACTCTTACAGCTGTGTAGCTTATAGTAATGTCGCCCCCAACACTTACTCCTGGCACTTATTAAACTCTAAAACCTGCCTGGGAGACAATGTAGTAAATATCTGTGAAATGCCCATGTAAGTAAAATTAAATGCTATAGCTGGCTTTAATACTTTTAAATAATCGTCCTTGCCCAATGGAAAAAAGACATTTTTTGGGTTATCACAGGTAGCTTTAACACTGCTCAATTGTCCAGTTATTGACATGCACAGTATAATTTGACATTTCACGATATCTTAATGAAAAGATACAAATCTACTAAAATTCCCTAAACTTGCTTTTAACATTAGTTAACAGTAGATATAAACCCATATGTGCACCTGTTAACCCTTCCGGAGCCTAGTTCCTAGGCCTTGTGTATCCATATGATCTTGTGCTACCGTCCACAGGATAGATTTAAGGTGGACGATATACTAGCCACTAGTGGCAAAATCTAATCTACACATACACTGCATGATAATCTTGCTATTTGTATATACCTCAGGCTTACCTTGTTCGGTAAATGCCTTCGTAACTTGCCACGATTGTGACCCAATCTACCTCAAGTTCATTACCTTCATAACTTGCTCAGCTATCAAAACTTTGGAGTCCCGTCCCTGGACCCATTATGTACCTCTGTAATCTTTTGACTACCGCCCACAGGATGGGTATGGGGTGCATAATAGATATTAAACTTTGTTCTTTCAGCCGCACTAAAAACGTAGTTCCCAGAGAGAAAAAACTAGAGTGTGGACAGAGATGGTCTCGTGGTGTCCTGGCCAGGTCAGCTTTCATACCTCGCCAAGATGACATTAACGAAGCTCAGTATGGAGAGTTTCCATGGCATGTAAGTGTATTCATGATTGTGACTTCCAGACTACCATAGCTGGAGTTGCTGTCACTTGGTAATTACCATCCCAGGATAACGTCCCAGTTGGATATTTGAAGTAGCAGAGAAAGGGTTAGTTGTAAGTTCAAATTCCAGAATAACTGGCACACAAACTTAGTGTTCAACTTTTCAGGAAAAATGCTAGCTTTTAAAGCTAATTATTTCAGTTAATACAAAAACCACTGAACTTTTCAGTCCTCTGCCCTTCCCTGACTTAATTGCTGTCAGCATTGACTAGTTACTACCAATAAACAAAGCAATTGGTACATAAATGCTACCTTAAAAATTAAGTGCCATTTTAATGCACTAAATTAAAAGTATAAGTTTAATTTTTTTTCCTGGTGCAGGCAGCAGTGTTGCAGCCCAGACACTACCAGGAAGGATTGGTACAGACTTTTGTCTGCTCTGGTGCACTAATCCACCCATACTTTGTCATCACTGCAGCCCACTGTGTTATATTCAGCAGTGGGGACTTCACAGTGAGTCTTTCTTTACCATTTAAACTTTAGCTTTCAGTTAACATTATTGCATTTCATCCATTGTCTATTGGCAGTGTAGTCGCTGAATTATATTGACTGCTTAAGTGATTTAAAAGCTTTACAATAGGAAGCCCCCGAAACTCTCTCCAGGTAAACTCCAGGTAAGGTTTTGCCTGTTAGTGAAACTCCACATTACTTGGTACATCTTGAGGGTTTCGGGGGTCGACGCCCCCGCGGGACAGTCACTTGTTTCTTTGCAAGTAGTACAGATTACATTTTTGCAATAATGGGTTGATGTGCAAAGAATATCTATTATACCTAGACATTATGGGCTGAATTAATGGCTTATTGACTACTAATCACTAAAGAATTATAATTGCACACTACTTCTATTAATTGAACATTAAATTTATATAAACCAAAGGATTTATTAGTGTATTAAAGACAAAATTACTGAAACAAGAGCCCTGCATAACTAACCATAGTGTTCTTCCAGTATATTTATATCTACATGCAAGTTACGAAGGTAGTGTTGTACCTCGATCCCTAGTGCGCACTGCTCAGAGGTCGGGGGTTCGAATCTCCTCCGGTAAGGCTGAAAAAGAAAAAAACATTAGGGACTTTTCCATAAAACACCTGCTGCCAATGTTCACCCATCAGTGTAAAATAGGTACCTGGGTGTTAGTGGACTGGTGTGGGTGGCATCCTGGGACAAAACTTCCCTAATTTGTGGGAAATGTTCAGCACAAGAAGCTTTCTATATAGTAGTAAGTCATTGATGTCAGCTATGGTCTGTACACCTTGTACATTATAGCAGACATCAGTGACGTACTACTATACAGAAAGCCGCTTGTTATGCACACCATTTTGGGCAAATAAGGTTTTCTCCCAGATTAACAGGAACAGCAGGTGTCTTATGAAAGTCCCTAATGTTTTTTTCAAGCCATACCAGAGATTAGAACTGCTAACCTTGGTGCACTTGCTCGTTTATGCTTTATTTGGGACACTTGACCTGCCTCTGACACGGCCACTGGATGCTAGTTATCTTAAATGATATAAATTTTAATTTTCTTTCCTCTTCAATGCAACACAACCTACAGTCTTGCACAAGGTCTTTAAATTTTAAAATTACCCATATTGTACCTTTTTTTTTTTTTTATAAAAAAGTCGGTAGTCTCCCACCGAGGCAGGGTGACCCAAAAAAGAAAAAAATCCCCAAAAAGAAAATACTTTAATCATCAAACACTTTCACCACACTCTCACATTATCACTGTTTTTGCAGAGGTGCTCGGAATACTACAGTTTAGAAGCATATACGTATAAAGATACACAACATATCCCTCCAAACTGCCAATATCCCAAACCTCTCCTTTAGAGTGCAGGCATTGTACTTCCCATTTCCAGGACTCAAGTCCAACTATAAGAAAATAACCGGTTTCCCTGAATCCCTTCACTAAATATTACCCTGCTCACACTCCAACAGATCGTCAGGTCCCAAGTACCATTCGTCTCCATTCACTCCTATCTAACACGCTCATGCACGCTTGCTGGAAGTCCAAGCCCCTCGCCCACAAAACCTTTATCCCCTCTCCAACCCCTTTTGAGGACGACCCCCTACCCCTCTTTCCTTCCCCTATAGATTTATATGCTTTCCATGTCATTCTACTTTGATCCATTCTCTCTAAATGACCAAACCACCTCAACAACCCCTCTTCTGCCCTCTGACTAATACTTTTATTAACTCCACACCTCCTAATTTGCACACTCCGAATTTTCTGCATAATATTTACACCACACATTGCCCTTAGACAGGACATCTCCACTGCCTCCAACCGTCTCCTCGCTGCTGCATTTACCACCCAAGCTTCACACCCATATAAGAGTGTTGGTACTACTATACTTTCATACATTCCCTTCTTTGCCTCCATAGATAACGTTTTTTGACTCCACATATACCTCAACGCACCACTCGCCTTTTTTCCCTCATCAGTTCTATGATTAACCTCATCCTGTTGAAGATATTGGCCTTACCAGCTATGTGTATATATATAAATATAGGAAACACTTTGCTGATAAATGACAGCAAATCGTCTACACAGCCGCCCCTGCAGACGAGGTCTAGAAGCTGTCGAAACCATCACAACATTGGGCTGTCAAGAGATACAATTTGTAAGTATAAATTACCCCTAGGGGGTGTTATGTCAGCATATTTCATTCGATGATGGCTGACGAAATACCTACTTGTTTGGACTAAAGTCCACACCTTACTGCCGATTATAGGTTGATTGCAAACTCCTTGTGACTCAAGAATTGCGCAATCCCCCGATCTACAAGAAATTCGTAACATACCTTGCTCTTTGTAACGTGAGCTATGGTGTTCTCGACACCTTCAACAGGTATCGGTGACTTGATAGAAGCTGAAGTGTCCTTGGATGTCCACGTCTTCCATTGTCTAGGAAACGCACACTGGTACACTGTTCCACAAGATTTGTCTTTATTGTTCACAATGTATCACAAGAGAAGCTGACCACACTTCTCTTATGTTTGTGTTTGAGACACTTTGTTCACACTAACGCACAGATCAGTGTTCTTTGCTAGTTATCCTGGCATTAGTGTCACTCTCCCTAGAGTCAAAGATAGTCTGGCCACGCCACACCGCCCCAAGCCGTCACTGCCCTAGCACACAAAAAAAAAAAACGCTGACCTAGTACCTTTCATCCTTGTCACCTCCTCGATGAAGCAAAGCAGAATGTTTTTCTTGCTGTCTTAAGCATAGACAACAATGTACACTATTTTTACTATGGTAATAAAGTGGGAGCAGGATTTTCCTTAATTGTCCTGCTAAGTAAGAGATGTACTGTCTCTTATAAAAATACACTTTGCAACACCGCTGCAAGGAGCAGAGGTCACTTGACTACGTGGCATAGCATCTGTGATCAATTACTCACTCTAGCAGTAAACAAGACGCTCGCCCCTTCTGAGGGCTTGGCCACTCAGGGCTGAAAGGGGCTGAAGGGGCTGAAAGGGCTGAAGGGGGCTGATACCCCCCCTCCTGGAGAAAATTTCTCCACACATCCTTCATAAATCCATCTGCTGACACTTCAACTCCCAAGTATCTGAAAACATTCACTTCCATACTCCTTCCCAATTTGATATCAAATTTATCTAAATAATTTGATACCCTAATCACCTTACTCTTTTCTATGTTCACTTTCAACTTTCTACCTTTACACATTCTCAAACTCATCCACTAACCTTTGCATTTTTTCTTTAGAATCTCCCATAAGCACAGTATCAGCAAAAAGTAACTGTCAATTCCCATTTTGAATTTGATTCCTCCATAATTTAATTCCACCCCTCTCCCGAACACCCTAGCATTTACTTTTTACAACCCCATCTATAAATATATTAAACAACCATGGTGACATTACACATCCCTGTCTAAGACCTACTTTTACCGGGAAGTATTCTCCCTCTTCTACACACCCTAACCTGAGCCTCACTGTCCTCATAAAAGCTCTTTACAGCATTTAGTAACTTACCACCTATTCCATAAACTTGCAACATCTGCCACATTGCTCCTCTATCCACTCTATCATATGCCTTTTCTAAATCCATAAATGCAATAAAAACTTCCCTACCTTTATCTAAATACTGTTCACATATATGCTTCAATGTAAACACTTGATCTACACATCCCCTACCCACTCTGAAACCTCCTTGCTCGTCCACAATTCTACATTGTCTTGCCTCTAATTCTTTCAATTATAACTCTACCGTATACTTTTCCTGGTATACTCAGTAAACTTATTCCTCTAATTTTTACAATCTCTTTTGTCCCCTTTCCCTTTATATAAAGGGACTATACATGCTCTCCGCCAATCCCTAGGTACCTTCCCCTCTTTCATAAATTTATTAAACAAAAGTACCAACCACTCCAACACTATATCCCCCCCTGCTTTTAACATTTGTCATGATCCCATCAGTTCCAGCTGCTTTACCCCCTTTCATTCTACGTAATGCCTCACGTACCTCCACCACACTTAGTCTGCTCTTCTTCACTCCTAAAAGATGGTATACCTCCCTGGCCAGTGCATGAAATTACCGCCTCCCTTTCTTCCTTAACATTTAAAAGTTCCTCAAAATATTCTCGCCATCTACCTAATACCTCCCTCTCCCCATCTACTAACTCCCCTACTCTGTTTTTAACTGACAAATCCATACTTTCCCTAGGCTTTCTTAACTTGTTTAACTCGCTCCAAAATTTTTTCTTATTTTCATTAAAATTTCTTGACAGTGCCTCTCCCACTCTTTCATCTGCTCTCCTTTTGCACTCTCACCACTCACCTTTCTTTTACTCTCCATATACTCTGCTCTTCTTATAACACTTCTGCTTTGTAAAAAAAAAAAACCTCTCGTAAGCTACCTTTTTATTTTCACACCCTTTACTTCATCATTCCACCAATCACTCCTCTTTCCTCCTGCATCCACCCTCCTATGACCACAAACTTCTGCCCCACATTCTAATACTGCATTTTTAAAACTATTCCAACCCTCTTCAACCCCCCCTCCCCCCACTACTCATCTTTGCACTAGCCCACCTTTCTGCCAATAGGCGCTTATATCTCACCCGAACTTCCTCCTCCCTTAGTTTATACACTTTCACCTCCCTCTTGTTGTTGCCACCTTCCTCTTTTCCCATCTACCTCTTACTCTAACTGTAGCTACAACTAAATAATGATCCGATATATCAGTTGCCCCTCTATAAACATGTACATCCTGGAGCCTACCCATCAACCTTTTATCCACCAATACATAATCTAACAAACTACTTTAATAACGTGCTACATCATACCTTGTATATTTATTTATCCTCTTTTTCATAAAATATTACTTATTACCAAATTTGTTTCTACACAGCTCAATTAAAGGCTCCCCATTTACATTTACCCCTGGCACCCCAAATTTACCTACTACTCCCTCCACAACATTTTTACCCACTTTAGCATTGAAATCCCCAACCACCATTACTCACTTGATTCAAAACTCCCCACGCATTCACTTAACATTTCCCAGAATCTCTCTACACTTCTCTTGTCCAGGTGCATACACGCTTACTATAACCCACTTTTCACATCCAATCTTTATTTTACTCCACTTAATCCTTTAATTTATACGTTTGTAGTCACTTTTCCTGCCATCGCTTATCCTTCAACATTATTGCTACTCCTTTAGCTCTAACTCTTTGAAACCCCTGACCTAATCCCATTTATTCCTCTCCATTGTACCTACCTCCACTAAATTTGGGACACTTGTTGCTTTCAGGTATCGCTGGGCGAGTGGGACCTGACGGAGGGCAAGAATCATATCCTAGATACGCTACTAGTCACTGTCAGTGACGTTATTATTCATCCAGGTGAGCTTTTCAAAGTTCACGGGAAGAACAAAGCTTTAGCTTTCCGACTTTCCATGGAAAGCAATCCACTTCCTGTGAGGTTGAGGCACACAATGGGTCTAGAGACTTGGGTGAAAAGTTCTGATAGCTAGTAATTTTAATTATTACTTAGGCACATACGTACTCACACATTTAAACTTTGCTTTTTGTTGCAATAAAATACACATTTCTAAACTCTACATTTTAAAACTGCCTCAATACCTAAAATTAATTTTCCAACCAAAATGGCAGATTGCTACTATTGTAAATCAAAATCGGGCCAATTGAAGTACGTAACTAAATAAATTATAATAAACTGCTAAACCACAAGGGCTAATATGGCTAAAGAAATATCTTCTTGCACAGGTGTAAATTATTATAATCAAGGGGGAAGCGCTAAACCCGGAGGATTATACAGCGCCTGGGGGGGAGGGGGATGTGGAAGTCATTCAGGCTTAATTCGGGGAACTGGAGCACAGATCCAATTCCCTAAATAAAGAGCCCCTCGCCAACATCAAGGAACCTTCCTTGAGGGGCACAGGTGTAAAAAGATACCTGCCACCTTTTGGTCAGTCTTCGCCTTTACAGGTGAACTGATACCAGAATTCCTCTTAACTAATAATTCTGAGACAGATATTGCAGTGCTGTGGATTTGCAGGTTTTATAAAGTAATAATGGTTTGGGACTGTTTGCAGGTTACAAACTTAGTGGTTCCATGATGCATGACTTGGCTTTACTGCAGCTAGAAGAGAAAGTAGCTGTGGACTCTTACCCTCACCTGGGACTGGGTTGTCTGCCCTCCCCTCACCTCTTCCATCACCAGAGTGGTACCTGGGACTGCTTCACTGTTGGATGGCCTCGCAATATCCGCACCCAGAAACACCTCTCGAATGTCTTTCAAAAACGCCGGGTAATTATGGTACTATCCTTCGTAGTTTTGGAAAGTATTAAAGGTTCAGATTAATGTAAAATTGAAAGATGTAGTAACGAAAATAAAATTTTTGGATCGGCCTGTATAACGGCCCAAGTAACCATGATACCTATTAGTTCAGTAAATTTAGATTTTTCTAGTCATAATTAGATCAAAGACTTAAATAAGTTTACTAATCTTTTGACTAGTTCTTCTGGTCTTAACCCACTGCTTTAATTATCCTCGCAGGAAGATAAAAGGGTGTTAGAGCGTGTAGAATCTGACTTGGTGCCCAGGCGAGTGTGTCGTAGTCTCACTCGTGATTACTACCGAACTTTACTCTCTCGTAGAAACTCTGCTTTTGACTACAAATATGACAGCAGTGCACCTTACCAACATTCATTCTTAGGGTAAGTCGGTTTGGATAAAATATTGCCTGAGCTAAGGTATGAACCTGCAACAGTCTTAATATAGAACTCTGCCCAGGCAGAATAAAAGAAATGGATTACTTTGAAAATTATCCTATGGTCAGCTTGGTTTAAAATCTGCATTGGTGTAACACTTGTCAAACTTTCTCAGATTTAAAGTTTTTTAAATTTTTGCAGCATTAGAGATCCAGAGCTGATCTGCACAGAGCCCTATGACTCTAACTACTGCTTGGTGAGTTTACATACCTGACTTAGTTTTCCAATTGGGAGGTGGTATGGTAAATTCAACCCCCCCCCGGTAACATTTCCATTGTGGGGGGGGGGCATTGAATCTAAATTTAGTAATAAACCGAAATACAGCCACTAACTTGGTAAGACTGTCCTAGATTAAAGTCTTGTTTACCTAAGGCGACTGGGGGTAGATTATCTGGCAGAAACGTATGCATCTTAATCACTTATTCAATTCAAAGTTTATTCTCTATAAGGATTACAATGAGTTTACAGAAATTTGGTTATGTGGTTTACATGTAGTAAAATTGTGATTAGTGTACCACTAGAACGCTTAGCATGGCTAGGCATTACAGTGCACACCACTAGAACGCTTAGCATGGCTAGGCATTTCGGGCAGACTTAGTTTTATTCTTAATTGTAAAATATTACAAATTATGAGGCAAGTTGGTATTATGGCTGTGACTAAATACTAGTTTGTGAGTTTAGCAATGTCAATACTTTTGTTCTGGCACAGTACATAGTTTCAGTATTGGAGTATCACAAGATTCATTATTTTAAGATTGAGGTTAATATTTCTGTTTATGGTCAAATGAGTGAGTGTGTGTGAACCACCAGGTGGTATTCGTGTAGTTAGTTGACGGGGTGTATCAGGGAGATAAGATTTTTTCTAATGGTAGTTTTGAAGGTGTGAATGTCTGCAGTTCTAGAGTTCTGGGGTAGGGTATTCCAGATTTTGGGGCCTTTGACATACATTGAATTTTGTAAAGGTTTAGTCGGACACGGGGAATGTCGTAGAGATGTTGTCTGGTGTTATGCCTGGGGGTTCTGTCACAACTATCAAGAAAGTGTTTTTAGGTCAAGGTTGATATAGAATTTAAGGCCCTGTAGATGTAGATTGCACAGTAGAAAGTGTGGATGTACTGAACTGGAGAAGTTTAGGTCTATGAAGAGTAGGGGGGGGTGTTGCCAGGGATGGGATTGTGATTATTCTTACTGCAGCTTTTTGTTGGGGTTATTTTGGCTTTAGATTTTGCTGCAGTTTGATCCCCAAGACAAATAGCATAGGTGAGGTATGGATAAACGGTGATAGTGTGAGAAGGGCATTTTTGTGCACGTAGTTATCGTATCTTGGAGAGGATCCCACCGTTTTGGATACTTTTTTGGTTTTTGCTGGATATGGTGCTGAAATTAGTTGTCAAGGTATAGCTAGGATTTGCCCCATTATTTCTGGTAATTAGTGTTGTCAATCTTAATGTTAATTGTGCATCTCCTGCTCTGCTACCAAACCTAATATAGTAAGGTTTTGTCAGTGTTAAGCCTAAGTTTATTGGGCCCTCATCCAAGTCGATATTTTAATCAGCTCCTCATTCCCCAATGGTGTTGAGGGTGGCAAGATTAGGGTGAATGACAAGTCGTGTTTATCAGCAAAGAGAATGGTTTCAGGGGGTTGGGATACGTTTGGAAGGTCATTGATGTATGAGGAAGAGCAGGGAAACCCAAAAGGACACTTCCCTGGGGAACCCAGTATCAAGTGGCCGTGTTGCTGATGCTGTCTCTTTAATGGTGACGTACTGATACCTATTAGTAATGTAAGATTTGAAATAAGAAAGTGCATGGCCTCTTATACCGTAATGATCAAGTTGGTAGGAGTGGTCTGTCAAAAGCTTTTCTTAGGTCAATAAAAATTCCTAGTGGATATTCCTTATTTTCCAATGCTGTGTAAAGCAGATCTACCTTTTTTAAATTGATTGCATCATTAGTGTTTTTAAATTTTTCCTGAACCCAACGGCAGGGGTTGGTATGTTTTGAGCCGTTATAAATGAATACAGTCTCCGTGCACGAGTTTCTCCAAGATTTTGGATAGCAATGGTAAGTTAGATTTGGCCTATATTAGTTAAGTCTGTAGGGTCCCCACCTTTATGTATTGGGTAACCCTTGCCATCTTGAGTAGTTTCGGGAAGGTGCTATTTTTCTAGTGACTTGTTAAAAAGTAATGAAATAGCATGCAAAAGGACAGGGGCCCGCTCGCTTGTATAGTAGTGGTGGGGACACGAGACAGATTCCCAGAGTTATTTTAAGTGACTTTATAAATCTCAGCGACTTCCGTGGGCTCAATTGGTGCAAGATAGAAGGAATTGGGGAAATTCCCATCAGGTAGTCCCCGGCCCATGGGCATTGGCATGTGGGATTTTACTGGCGAGATTAATCCTATGGTTGAGAAGTCGTTTATCTTGTTAGCGTGTCAGTGGGATGTAGTGGTGTTTTCATTAGGTTTAGTTAGGACAATATTCTTGGTTTTCTCAGTTTGGGGGGTCCCTAGAAAGGAAATGTTTTTCCAGGTCTTTTTTATATCTCCTCTAGAATCTGCTGGAGTAGTATAGTTGTTTGGCTTTCTTTATTACTTTTGGGGAGAGCTGATGAATAGTGTTTAAGAATATCTTTGTGTATTAAGCCCTGTCTGTATTGCTTTTCATATTGGTGTTTCTTGTCAATAGATTTCAAAATGGTGCTGGTTAGCCATGGGCAACCAAGCAGTTTGTGATCTGTTTTGTTTTTATAGGGGCAATGTTTGTTGTTTTAGTCCAAGTTTAAATTTTAAAAAAAATGTCTGTCCAGTCATCAATACCATTGGCCTTGAAGAATTCTGTAGGCCAATCAACAGTCTCTAGGTCAGCTGTGAACTTCCTTACTGAGGCCTCGTCATGGAGTCTAAATGACTGTTGTATTCAAGTGGTGGTTTACTAATGTTTGTCCGGAGGAAGTTAGGGTAGTGGTATGTAGTGCTATCTGTGATTATCCCTGATTTAAGGGGGGGGGGGCTAGTATATTGGTCCGTATGTGGTCTATTATGGTTGCACTTGTCTCAGTGAGCCTGGTTGGTTTATTGTTGGTATGAGAAGTGTGTTCATATTGTTGATGAAATCAGTTACAGGCTGATCATCTAGTAAGCCAAGGTTGATCTTAGTCTCCAGCTAAGAGAAGGTGGTGCTTATTCATTTGTCTGTTATTAGTGACTTTAATTTCTCACTGAAATTTGGAATGTTTGTGTGAGGTATCCGGTAAATGGCACAGATTGTTATAGGCGTCTTAAGGTTTTTTACAGTAAAATTAGCAAAAATGTATTCCCCATATTCATCACTAAAGCAAGTGGTGCTAAGACAAGATAATTGGTTAGAGTAATAGATTGCAATACCACCCCCAACTTGGTTTGGTCTGCACTTGTGAATTGCTGTGTATCCTGGTAGAGGGTAGATATCTATTGTCCTGCTTAAGCCAGGTCTCAGTAAGAATAACCGTAATACCTTGGCTATTAAGAGGCCAATAAGTCAACATTGAGATGCCTATGCAACATATGGGATCTTTGAGGAAACTTTTCGCCAGTGGCTTCATCAGTCCAATACAAAGCAAGGTGATGTAAGTAGTAGTTTGAGGTAATTAGTCCCTCAGCCTGGAGTCTGTTCAGATTGGACTGAACACAAACTCAAAGCTGAGGGACTAATTACTTCAAACTCCTCTCCTTATACCTTTCTGCATTGTATTGGACTGAAGTCACTGAGGTCACAAGTTTCCTCAATGAAGATTCCTACATGATGCAAAAGTCTGTCTGCAACTTGTCAGTTTTAAACCATTTATAAAGTCTAAGGGTTAAATTTGACTTTAAAACTCCGCACCATTCAATAGTTAATTTGTGAAAAAAAAGTAGGCTTCTATTAATTTTCATATGTAATGGAAGAGTTAGTGAAAACTTAAATTTCACTAATGAAAGGTTCTTTCAAACTTTATACTTCATCCTGAATGTCTTTTTTTTATTCAGGACGACCCGACGCCCATCTTGGTATGCCGTCAAGCCATCGTTTACAAGGACGATCCATTTTCTCCCTTTGATGACGATGGTGTCTACATCAACAGTCCTCACTCCTCCACCTCCAGGATCATCAATGCTTATGGCAAGGAAAGGTTCCACAGTGACAAATGGTACATCATGGGTATTGGGCACAACCTGAACAAGTGCCAGGAGGATGACTTACCCAGGAGTGACAAAGTACCATACAGACCTGGAGGTACTTACAGGCGTCGTAGTTACCAGGTCTTCACACCTGTCCACGAGTACCTCTCCTTTATACACTCTCACCTCGACCTCCAAAGCAGTGGACATTTCACCAAGAAATAATTGTACAGTATTTTCCTCCCCATAGCACTGTTTTAATAAAATAAAATACACCTTATTGACCTTAAACTTGACCTAAAAATTGGAGAGGGGATGAATAATCTATGGTTTTAAGCACATGGAATTAGCTTCAAATGTTTCCTTGAGGTTATCTATCCTTTAGTTGCTCTGATTAAGGAGGTAGACAGATTCGTCTTAATTGATCTTAATTTCTCAGCCACTAAGATAATCCTAAATTTTCAACTAGCTTACCTAGTTTCATCAATCAACTTTCAGTTGATAAAAAGTGAAATACTGATAGTATAAATATGGCTTACAAGCCTTCCCATTCCCCCCACCCCCCAATATAATTCATACAATGCTGTCATGGTGCGGAAAGCCAATAAGAGGAGTGATTAAGGACTCCATCAAGCTGGCTTTAGCTGCCGTAACAAGGACCTGTTTAGAGTAAAATAACGGCAATCCACTCCGAAGGACTTTCATTGTCAACACTGAAAAATCTAAACTCCTGGACGATTCTTCATAAGTCCCTACAAACATAATTCGCCATATCCCAATCTGCATTTCTGAGTGTCTAGACTGAAGCAGTGAAGACTTCTATAAAGGAACACAACACTTGGGCCTCTGCAGACATCACCAAGATCCCTAATGCCTCGTCAATAACTTGACATTTCCATGGCTGGCAAAGCTCTGACACTGGCCATCTCATCACAAACCCAAGCCATATAGAACATGAACGCTTAGTCTCCCATTGCTGAACCAGTTACTTCTATAATCGCACCAACACATTCTGTTCAGAATGTGCGAACAATGGGCACTAATTCAGATCTTGCACCACCATTACAGTTCCAACATGTCTTCGCTGGAAGGGTATGACTATTAGCCCTGCAGTCGAGTGCTCACTTGGGGAAAGGAAATCATATCAAACAAAACAAAAGATCTGAAGAACACCAATTTACGGACATTAGCTGATATAACCAAACTACATGTGCACACCACAAAAATATTCTCTACCTGATGGTGCTCCCTCCATGGTGTATGCACACCTTGTAGAGCAAACTCTGGCATTTTCAACACCACCATAAACTGAACATGCCTGCCTTCAATTTCCCGAACTCCACACGTTCAGCAGACTGAGATCCTTCCCAACGTCGTGAACTACAATGCCCCTGCAGACCTGTCTAGTGCCCAAGCAACTGTTCCATAATCTTCAACCACCTCCCAACTTGATACACTTCACTGTTCCTGCTGGCCCAGTTACCTGCCAGCACCATTGTAGACTCCCACTGAATCCACTTACGAAGTTGAAGACTCCAATACACCCTCGTGGGGGAAACCTTACCTTCTACACTTCTCAGTCTAACTCTGACACCACGACCTGTACTGAGCCTGTTCAGTTTGTGAGCCACATCTGTCAGTTATGCACCCCATACCCATCGTGTGGGCGGTAGTCAAAAGATTAAAGGTACATAATGGGTCCAGGGACTGGGCCCCAAAGTTTTGGTAGCTGAACTAGGTACAAAGGTAATGAGTTGTGTAAGTAAATTTACATGACTACAATTATGAACAAACTAGAATAATGAGCAAGTCGCACTTCCACAGTCACAACTGTAATGAGTTACTGGTGCAAATATAGTTGGGACGGACTAAGTCAAAGGGATGTTAGGAACTATATATTCATAGTTGTCGGGCAGTAGAATAGACTAGAAAGTGACGTAGTGGCATGAACCATACAGTTTTAAGAGGTTCGATAAAGCTCATGGCGCATTATCATAAAGCAGGAGCACTAAACCCATAGGATTATGCAGTGTCAGTGGGGGGGATGTGGGGTAATTCAGGCTAGATTCAGGGCCCCTCGCCAGCATAAAGCAGGGAGTGGATGTAGTAGCGATTACTGAAGAGGCGGAACCATGATTCTATCACTGCAACCACAAATAAGTGCACGCACGCACGCACGCACGCACGCGAGCACAAACACTAGAGTGCACGAGTACCCACACTTCACATCACTGACCAAAGTTGAGGGATTCATCAAGCCTCTACATTACACTTTTAGAGACTCTACCACCTCCAGGAGCAGCTTCAAAAAATTGAAAATAACTCTTATAAAAACTTGCATCCTTAATCACATCAAGAAACACCCAGTTAGTTCCCTTCCTCCCCTCCTGATGTTCCTGCGACCTAGTCTACTGCCAGCTTCTGGAAATTAAAGGCCTCCAACTACCACAATACTCATGCAACAGAGCCTGTCATGGCCGTTTCTCAAATCTGCCCCACAAGTGCCTAGCTGCAGCCCTGGCACTTTCTCTTCAAAGCTAGTCTTCAACTGTCCCATCTTTCCCACTCGCACCACAAAGGAGTCTTGTCTAAACACTTGTCCTGGTCTGCCTTGAAAAGGACCACTGACTGTTTATTCATGTTTGCCTGAAAAAATCAACCTTAACTAATATTAGTACACCAGTCAACCATGCTCATGAAACCAAATATAGTAGTAACAGCCTGGTTGTTGGAACTTATTCAGTCCGAGAAGTCCCAACGGGGAGAAACACACCGTTCGAGGGCCCTTACACCCAACCCAAACACTCTCCCGGGTTGGCGGAGGTGGATGGGAGGTACTACTTAATTTATAGATTTACCCTTCAGGGAAGTAGGTAGTTTTACTGTTAGTACACTAATATTAGGATTATTGAGGCAACTGTAACCTCTGCTTCCTCTGAGTGCAGTCTGGAAAAAAGTACGGAAACTGAGTGGTAAATATTCTCCTGACCCGGCTCCTGTTCTGCGGGTTGCCGGTGTTGATATAGCAAACCCACTAGATGTTGCCAATGAAATTGGCAATCATCTGGTCCGTATTTCTCAGACTCCATCTATGCTCCTCATTTCTTTCCTCAAAGTCTGCCAGAGAGTTAGCACCCTTGGACTTTTCTTCTCTCAGAGAAGAACAGTATAATGTGCCTTTTACACTTCAAGAACTGGAGGCAACACTCTCAGCTTGCCGATCATCGGCAGCTGGGCCCGACGACATTCATATTCGTATGGTACAACATTTACATCAGTCAGCCCTTGCAGTCCTATTACGCCTTTACAATCTTATTTGGTCACAAGGCGTTCTTCCACAGCTGTGGAAATCCGCTGTGGAAATTTATTTGGTCCCTTAAATTCCACGGGTCAGATCCTGCATGGCCGTACAGACGGCTGAGCTGGATGGCCCTTATAACCCTCCCAAACAAAGCATTCTCTGGTTGGCGGTTGTTGGTAAGCTTATTTAATTTATAGATTTACTCTTCAGGGAAGGAGTAGGTAGTTTTACTGATAGTATATTAATATTAGGATTATTGAGGCATCTGTAGATAATAATAGTGTAGACCTAAGACCTTAACATAGGTAGTAATAGGCTGATAATGTAGGCAAACACTAGGATAAGTTAGCTAGGGAGAACTGGCAGCCCTAACTTGAATGGCGAGGCGCGGGTTACAGACAGAATAGCGTCCTTCTTAAGACAGACACCAACTGGACAAGACGTGCCGTGATCACAAAACGGCGCCCCCACGTGTCTTCACATCTGAGACCTGGGGAAATCTGGTAGACGCACCTCGATGTACCGTAGATGACCTCCTCCATCAGCCCCATACAGTAAACAAGATCTTAAACCTTTTTCCTCGTAATTCTGGCCAGTGTCTTGGGGAAATATGGGTTGATTTTAAACTGTGGGCCCGGTGTGCAACAGAGAGCATGCCCAGTAAGTACCAGTGCCCTCAGAGCCGTCTGAAGCTAGGGGTCTGAGTCTGCATAGTTATACTAGGGGATACATACCCTCTTGGATATAGGAATTTCTGAGTCAGGCGGGACACTAATTACGATTGAATTTTGCAGGAATTAATGCCCCGTTGCACGTGGTTTTCTGAGGGGGAGTCCAAAGGGGCTAAGGCTAGCTTGGGGAAGTGAAGATCGGGAAATATATGCTGCAACACCAAGTAATTTTAGTCCTTTATACGTGCATGTAGGCGAGGTTTCTTGCAATACCAATCATTTGTGAAGATCTGTCCTATAAGCCACTTGAGGCTGAGGTACCCACCTCAGAGCTCGGTGTCAACAGAGTTTGCCAGGGTAGGTGACTCGCTTGGAGGCAGTCCACACAAATTTTCACAAAAGGGTCCTTCGAAAACAGTGATGTGGAATAGCTAGGTTAAGCTATCATAGCTAGGCCACAGTTAGGAACCAGTTTAAAAAAGTTAGGTTAAGTTAGCACACCTAGGTCAAAGTTACACAGAGGCTAGGCCAAGCTGACTATACACAAGTTATTTGCAGTAATTTACAAGCAGGCCAGGTAGGCTAGAGAAGCTTGTGAATTTAATTATTTACAGTGATTACAAGTAATCCAGAGTAGGAGACTTGTGTGTTAATTATTTGCAAGGTAGCCACAGTTAGGCTAGGCTTGTGCAATATTTACAAAGGGTTATAGTAGCTAGGACAGATTTAACCAAGTTATTATTTACAGGGAGTAAAAAAGCCGGGTTTTTAAGTTATAGCACACTAGCAGGTTGGGATTTACCTTATCCAACAATCCACCTAAAACAGAGTAAGCTGGGCACAGGCCAAGCTGTTTACATACATTATTTATTTACTGTTTCACAAGTTGAATTGTTGAATTTACTTGTGTTAACAAAGTGATTTTAATTTATATACTGCACCCTTTTTGTGTGATTTTCATCGTCTTTGATTCATGTTTAAAAAGATTTGTGAATTATACCTGAGACTAGGTTAAGTCCTGTAATTATTTCTGGCATTGTACAATTAAGTGCTAGATTAAGCTTTCACATCGGTACACATTTTTGATTGGATTTGAGAGCTATCAGTGTACATTTTTGATTCATATATCAATATAACAAAGGGAATTGTTAAGCTTGTTGAAAGCCTTAAGACTCGTTCATTCTTACCTAACACCGTGACGTGCTGTGGGGTGGACTGGGTAAAGTACAATTAGTGTCACACTCCTCATTAAACTTCGACAATGCAGATGGGGGTTCAGGAGAGTCGGTTTCAGTGTTTAAAAAAATT